TTCTAAAATGGCTATCTATGATATCGCTTCTCTTGAAACCCAAAACATAATGGTCGTGACCTTCTTAATGAACCTTTCGGCTTTGAACTTGACAGGCCGAGATTTTCCCTTTGGGTGCCACCCTTTCACTTCCATCTTTTCCAAAACAGCTAAAGAAAGTTCCTGGAACACTTTCGGAAACCACCGTGCCCACCGAGAGTGTGCTCACACCAAGATTTTCTGTGAGAAGTGAAAATGCTGACCCGTATACGATTCCTCCTTCATTGGTAATTACCTCAATTTCCTTGTAACTCGTCGATTTTGTCCCACTACGTTCCGTACAAGAGGGATGTTTTCTTAATTTTGTACTGTGATGAGTCTCCCTGCTGGCGAGTCGCCATCAAGATGCACTCTTCCCTCTACAAAGCGTTTAGTCCAATCAAAAATGACTGCTCTACATGGTACAGTCACCATAAACATGCTGCAAAGCTGATGAATATCTGAAGAAGCTTCCAATTTAGTCTCATTAAAAAATGTTTGTTAGAACTAGTCTCAAAATTTGTCATTTGGATGGTTGATAGTTGCTAGCTGTTTTGAGAAGCAACCCGTCTTTATTCTGACCTTACATAGAACGATCGGATAGTTAAGTGTTATTAAGGCAGCCCTAAAGACATGTTTGAACTTATAAATCTTTGTTCTATTCAAAGTAATATCTGAGACCTTGTTGACTCTTCTTCGTGCTTATGAAGTACTGTAACTACTATCAACCTTACATTAAAAAACACCAATAGTAATAACAACGACGGCAATACTCACCGTCGCCTTGGAAACGTGTAACCTCCTTGCCATCGACACACAGGATTAGAGTAGCAAGGTAGGGGCAGATTCCTCGAGTGAAGGTCGCCTCATTCAGAATCTACAGGGGAGAAAGCATTGAGAGAGAGAGAGAGAGAGAAAAGTCAAATTAAAGGTCTCTGCAGAAATTCCCTCCCCCGGAACGTATATGGCAGAGAAAATTAATTGATTAGAGAGAATGCAAAGAGAAAAGGGGGGTATCCGGCTCTCAGTGTCGGACTGCACGAAAGACGGTCTTCGAAACAAGGCGGAGTGGGCACGTACTTGACTTCTCTATATCAGTTGTATTCAGTACAATAGAACAAGATGCGATCTACATTAGTGTACTGCTCAGGAGTCTTCTAAAGTAAGTAATTCACAAAGTGCTAAAGACTCAAATTAATCGCTTAGTAAATACACTAACGATTTTAAACAGCTCCAGGAGACGAAAGATAATGGGCAACTCCCTATCCAGCCTACAATTTGTGAGTAAATATTTACATTGGTAAGGCAATCGTAACATGTTTAGTTTCAACTAAAACCATCAACCAAGTGCAATGACCAATAGATCTGATATATACTTAAACTACCTGATCCCATTGTATGTCATATTCGACTACTTCCACAGTACTTATGACCCCACTGTATGTCATATTCGACCACTTTCACAGTACTTTCCCACTCTATGTCATATTCGACTACTTCCACAGTACTCACATCACCTTTTTTCTACCTTTGTGTCTGTCTCTTTTACATCTATGAAACACTTCACTCTATGCCATATTTGACTATTTTCACAGTACTCACTACCTTTTTTCTACCTTTGTGTCTGTCTCTTTTACATCTTTTAAACACTCTTTTGTTGTATGTCATATTCAACTACTTCCACAATAATCACCTCACATCTTTATGCCATATTCGACTATTTCCACAGTATTCACCTCATTTTTTCTACCTTCTTTTACATCTTTGAAATACTCTTCTGTTCCCCCCTCCCTTTGTGTCTGCCTCTTTTACATCTTTGAAATACTCTTCTGTCCCCCCCTCTTATCTACCTTCGTCTTTGAAATACTCTTCTGTCCCCCCTCCCCCTCTCGACTTTTTTTCACTTTGATGTTCCTTCCCCTCTATAAAGCCTGAAGTCAACAAAAGGGCTAATGATAACTGTCAAAACGCCCGCCATTTTATATAAATATATATATAAACCATATCGACATGAGGAAGCAATTCATTAAATCCATATTTTCTTCTGGTGTACTAATAACACTTTCAGTGGCTATGAAATTATAATAAATGTAATTTTATAAAAGAGAGAGAGATTTTACCTGAGAAGAATCGGATTCCAATTGAGATTTCAGGGAACAGCGAGTACTGCAAGTTTCCGAACATGGTAACGACTCTTCACCTCGAATCACTCGGCAATGGAGTCGATTTCGCAGAATGCATGGACCACCATCTATGGGAATAAAACCAAAATATAATAGCAGAATAGTAGAGTCATCCAATGTGAATCAATTTTTAATTATTAGGGTGAGCCACAAAGTACACAACTATTGAGGAGATGACTTTGATAGCCATTATGAAGACACTTGACAGTACGCAGACCAATCAGAAAAAAATGGGCGTAACGGAACCGATGAGAAGCTTGAACACGAGAAATACTGCATTAATGATCAATGCTGTTAAATACGGAGGAGGAGGCAAGGTAGTCGCCGTCTACTACCGTTAATGTTTTTCGGTCAAGTATTTCATCGCTTCTTGACACTATTGACTTTTGCATCTTTTCAGTTTTAATTGTTCTAATAAACAAGTATTTATTTAGAGCATTCTTAAGCACGTGTTGAAAGAATTTAAGTAAAGTTAATTAATCAATTAATGTCTACCAAAGATGAGAGTATATGGGAATTATTGAAATCTAACAGAATCTAACAAAAAAAATAGACAATCGCAATGATGTACCATGGCTGCAGTACAACCGATAAAGGCGACCAAATAATTTAATGGAAATTATGAAAAATTGTAATAAGCAAAATTTCCAATAGAACTTTGCCAAGAATATCAAAAGAAATTACTACGTAATGAAAAGTGTAAAAATTCAACTTACCAGAATAAAATTTTTTAATTAGGAATGGAAAGTCAGCAAAGTTGAAGGGAGTGAGGAAACCCAAACTGCCCATATAGAATGATATAACAGGAGGAACGGTATTCTAGAAATAATGTAAACAAAGAATCAAGAGTCAATAAACACTGAAAATACATTTACTAAGTTCAAATTTTAGTTTAATCAAACAGTAATCATTAGAGAAATCAGAACAAAATTTGAACCTGGAATATCGAAGCTAAATGAAGCAGCGTTCCGTCTCCTCCCATGCAAATAATCATGTCAGTAAGCCCTGGTTCATTAGCCATTTCATTACTGAACTCGATTATAGCGCTCTTCGAGTTGACAATTTCGGTATCGGATTGCCATATCTGATCAGGATTCTTCACGGCATTAACGAATTCAGGTGGTATGCAGATTTCCTTAGCTTTTAGCGAAATATCAGTTCGATCACCAGAAAAGGGTGGCTTTTCTTGGCGAAGATGGGC